CCAGAGGGAGGGCCCTGAACATGCTCCATCCCCTCTTCAACACCCTCCCCGACGCCCCCCAGCACTGGGTGAGACATGCCAGAGGAAACGTCTCCACCCATTCTGTGCCACAGCCACGAGCAGATCCATCCTCCAGCCATGTGTCCAGCCCCTTGCTGCCCCTGGCTCTGCTCTCTGCCCCCACCTCTCCTGGGGCAACCAACTACACACAACCACTGCATGTTGCATCAAAAAGTCCCATTTTTTGCTAGTTTTAAACCCGTCACCTACTCATTTCAGTGTGCCCCCTGGTTCTGGGAGTTGGTGAACAACAGGCCCCTCTTCCCTTCGTTCATACGCGTCAGCATTTTATAGACCTCGATCTTATCCCACCTCAGCCTTCTTCTTCCTAGTTGAAGAGTCCTGGCTGTTAGACCCCGACTCCATGCGGCGCCCAACGACTAGGGAGATGACGATCCAATTGCTCATGGATCCTGTTGCTCATTAGCCAGAGCAAGCAGGGAGCAAAGGCTACTTGCACACATTGCTCGCAACAGCTTTATTCAGAATGGAGACAGCTTTGGGCCAGGTCCCCAAAAACAAAAAAAATGGGGACCTGCACTGAACATCAGTTCTTTTTACACTTTATACACTTTATACATCTTGGTTCATACATATCAATATTTGTTCCCCCTCTGTCCCTCCTTCTGTTCCACCCATTTCTCCTCTCATCTCAAGCTCTGCCTCTGTTTACTGTTTATTTCATTAGCATTTCATTCATTTACATGCCTCTCTGCTTAGAGCGTGTGCATAAGACCATGACCCTGGCTTCTTTCAGTCACTTGCTGACTCCTCCTTCATCTCCAAGGTCTTGCTTCTGCTTTATCTCCTGACACTAGCCGGTGGGCTGCACCTTGTTCTTCTTACACAACGGCTCTAGCACTACGACTTTGTTTAGAAAACTGCTTGCCTAACCATTTGCAAGGTTGGTTACTTCTAATATATCATCCTGTCTTGTGACCAGCAGCTTTTGCTGAGACACAGATACAAGCCTTTATTCAGCTGTAAATCCAATGCTCCCCAAGATCCAAATATTGTTACCTTAACAACAGCCTTTTCAGTCTTTAATTTGTTTTACCCCTGCCTGCCACCGGCCCCTGCCCTTCCACTTACTCACAAGAAGGATCATCTTATGCTGCTGGTGGCAGCAGGGTTGGAGCATTTGCTCAGCCATGATGGTCCATGACATGTACAGAGGCAGGGATTTGGCGTGAGCCCTGTTCTTCAACTCACTGAATACCTGGAACAAGTGTTGAGCCAGGTTTGAGCATCGTGTGCCTTCTTTGGGTCTCCTTTCTACTCTGGGAAGAAGCGGCCACTACCTGACGCTGAGGAAGGGCAGGTGATGCTTGTCCAACCCCGCTTCCAACTATTCAATGGGCCTGATATGAGAGGCTGCTCCCAGCCCTTGCCTCTCATTGGCAGTGTTGGCATTCGGTGTGGTGTGGTGGGAGGGTAGAGACCCTGCTAGGAGGCATGGTGGGGTCAGATAGCAGGGCCAGAAACACCATCTGTCACACATGTCCTGTCCTGGTTCGGGCATCACCTCGTGTGACCTGCTCGGGCTCACACCATGGGGCTGCCTCCTGTGAAGCCTTTCCATCCTTCCTAGGCCAGCAGCTGGTGGGTGAAATTCAGCCATTACGGGGCCTGTGGGAGGAGATCGTCTCGCCCTGCGCTGTGCTCCAGGAGCAATACCGTGAGTACCAGAGGCAAGCGCTGCACTCAGGTCTGCTAGGGCAAGGGTTGAATCAAGGGGGAAGACATCCACCACCCCTGAGCCAGGCCCACGGTGAAGAGATCGAGCCCAGCAAAGTTCCCAGGACCGCCCTACACTGAGTGGGGCTTAATCCCCAGCAGAGCCCCTGACGCAGGACATTTGTCCTAACTGGGAAGAATTTGTCCTCTTTGGGCAAACTGCCAAATGTCCCATTGGCCCCGGGCTGTGGGCACAGGAGCAGGATGTGGCTTGGGGAGCATCAGCTGCTGGGGCTTCCTCCTAAAGTGGAAGCATTGGCACATTCACATAATGCTCTGCCCTGCCTAATTACCTCCAGCCTCTCCACAGAGCTAATTAGCCTGCCAGCATCACCACACACAGGCAGATCCCCTTACCAGTTATCCCAGCCCTTGTCCTCCCAGGGTTACGCAAGTGCAAGGGGCGTCACCTTGGGACCCATCAAGCTGCAGGCAGGGCCCTGCCACTCTGCAGGCTCCGATTGTCCAACCCTGCTTCCAACTATTCAGTGGGCTCAATACAAGAGGCTGCTCCCAGCCCTTGCCTCTCGTTGGCAGTCTTGGCATTCAGGGTGGTGGGGTGGGAGGACAGAGTCCCTGCCTGGAGGCTCACAGCAAGCTGCATCCAGGGTCCAGGTGGAAATCCAGGGGTTGCTGTTCTCCTCAGGGCCCTCGTTGTAGCACCTTTGCACTGTGACTCTGCTTCATGCTCTTGACCTGAATCTTTAGGCTACCTCCTGACCAGGGTTTCCCAAGGCTGGAGACATCATGGAGGGAACCTCTACTACTTCTCAAAGGAGAAAAGGTCCTGGGAGGAGGCTGAGCGCTTTTGTGTGTCCCAGGACTCGCACCTGAGCTCCGTCCTCTCCTGGGAAGAGCAGGTGAGTGCAGGGATGTCTCAGAGATTTCCCCAACCGCAGCACAACAGCCTCCCTGCCAAGCCCTTCTCACCCACGGCAGTGAGGACATTGCTGCCCTGTAGCCGGGGTCACACTAATGCTGCTATTTGTGTCTGGTAGGAGTATCTTGCCACGCAAGTCAAAGGTGCAGATCAAAGGTGGATCGGGCTGAGTGACCGTGAGGCAGAGGGCTCCTGGCGCTGGGCGGACGGCTCCAAGTACACGGCGGGGTAACGGCACTGGGACACTCTGGCCTGGGTGGAGCCTCTTGGAAATTTCTGTTGACTTCAGAGCATAATCTTGGGCTGGAAGAGCCCTCAGGAGACCTCTAGTTCATGTCCCTGCTCCAGGCAGGGCCTCCCAGTCTGCACTGTCCCACACAAGGGTTTGTCTGACCGACTTCCCCGTCAGAGATTTCCCCCCTCTCCAGGGACCTGCTTTTGTGCTGAACACCCTCAGAGCTGGAAAGGTCTCCCTAAGCTCCCACCCAGTTCTGCCAGCCTTTCCTCGCAGGTCAGGTTTCTAGACCTCTGATCCCTTTGGTTGTTCTGCTGGCGTCCCTCCATGGCATCTTTGTGTTTCTTGAAGTGTTCCCCATCGCAGGCTTCCAGGACCTCTGCGCTGCTCTAGAGACCAGTTTTGCAAAGATGAGTGGGCTCCAGCGTGACATGGTCCTAGCTCCTCACTCAGTAATGGTTGGAGCAGAAGAGGACAGGGGACTATTTGTTGTCCTGTTCACAGCCAGAAGGCTTCAGAGCTTAGGGCCGTCGAAGGTCTGACGGCTGGTGGTGGAATCGAGCGTCCGGTGCTGGTGCTGCTGCGCCGCTCCGGACAGTTGGTGTTGAAGGAGAAAAATTATCAGGGGCCGCCGCTTGTGTCTGGGCGGCTGGGCTCCTGAGGTATATCAAAAAATTACGTGGGACAAATAAAAAGAAAACAGGGTGTGCACGGAAAAGGGGTTGTGCATGTAGCTCTTGAGATGGTGGAGGTGTGGAGAAGAAGTGAGGCCCATGACTCCCTTGGCAATGGGGAAAGGGAAAGGTCCTGGTTGGGGAGGTTTGTGCCCCTGCAGGATGGGGGAAGGAGGAGAGGAGGTGCACACGGGGTGCGTCTGCAGCATGGCAGCACAGCACTCAGCCTTGCTGATGAGGAAATGAGCCCTGGCTACCCACTCCCACCCCTTGGGCATCCACACCACAATGCAATGGGGGCACCTGGGGCTTTCCAAGCCAGGCTCTGGGGTCCAGGTGTGAAGGAGAGTGCTAGGGTGTCACCCCACCTGCATTGTCTCCTGGCTGATGTGGGTGGACAGAGCTTATGGTACCATGATGCAGAGAAGCCCTAGTGACCGTGGTGAGGAGGAGGCAGCAGAGGAGGCTCTCAGAGCTGCAGGCACAGGGGAGCGGGGGGCGTCATAGGCTGGCCCTGGCATAGCTGGGGGGGGGGGGGCACTGGCTGGGCCATTCCATCTTCCTCTGTGTGCAAGTGCGCTTGGGCACCCAGGTACGGTTTCCTTCCCCCATTTCAATCCCTGGAAAACTGGTAATGCAAAAGGTGGGTGGTTCCTGTTACTCCTCTCTGCTTTTTGGTGACTGAAGGGTGACATGGTCTTACATACTAGATGCACTCAGAGATTTTCAGGACATGACCAGGGTGGCACAGAAGCACACCTAAAATGGGAAACACAAGCTGGCCCTAGGAGTCTGCAGCGGAACTGCAGCGGTCTGCAACCTCTTTTCTCAAGGTTTTGGACAGAAAGCCAGCCGGACAACTGGGATCAGGGAGTTGGAGGGACAGAAGACTGCGTTCACCTGGACCAACCACGTTATGAAACATGGAACGATGCCAACTGCACCGAGCAGCACCGGTGGATCTGTAAGACGGCCCTGGGGTAGGCCACTGTTCTCCCAGGGAAGCCACACGCAGTAGCCTGGGACCGTAGAATAAGCATCTGTAAAGCAAGCTCGCTCAGAATAGGTTAAGACAAGTTCAAATAAGTGCTTTTGGGCATCACTAGTAGCAGTTAAGAGTAACAGCCGGTGTTCTGCTTTGCGGTAAGAACTGAATTGCACGTAGTCAGCTAGCAGCCTAGGATCCCCAAACCGCGGGCACACAGATCCGGAAAGCCCGACCCCTCCCCGCTGGCCGAACAGGTCATGATCTAAGATGGGCCGGGGTCTGGTCTCCATTGTCGTGACCTGGCAGGTGTGAGCGTGGCACAGCCCAGGAGACACCAAGGGAAACCCTCAAGACCCAAACCTGGCGGTCAGCCGAGGCAGAGCCGAGCTGCCTCCTCTCGTGGCTGATCCCCAGTCCTGCAGGCTGTGCTTTGATTTCCAGTCCCTGCAGGCTGCGGGTCAGCTGTCCTGGGCCATCAGAAAGGGGGCTGTGCCCAGTAGCAGGGATCGCCCCCTTCCCGACCCAGGACAGGACGCCAGTGCCATGTCTGCCGGGTTGGCCAAGCTCATGCATTCCAGACCCATCCGTCGGACCTCGCAAGATCGTGGGACTGGCTGCAAACCTTGGCGTGTGCCCTAAAGCTAAGAGACCTGTGGGGCATTTTATGCAGGGGGCTGGCAGCCATGGGATTCCTCTCCCCGGCACCTTACCGGACCTCTGCTGCTACACTCTGCCCCTGCCCTTATAGTTTCATACTTTCATAGTAGTTTGGGGTTAGAAGGGACCTGAATAGATCATCTAGTCTGACCCCCCACCACTGTCCAGAGCACATGTTGGGATCACATGACCCCAGACAGACGTTCATCCAACCTCTTTTTGAATTTACCCAGGGTAGGAGCGAGGACCACTTCACTAGGAAGTTGGTTCCAGGTCCTAGCTACCCTGACAGTGAAATAGTGCCTCCTAATCTCTAACCCGAACCTATTCTCCAGCAGCTTCTGACCATTGTTCCTCATCACCCCAGGTGCTGCTGGGGGGAATAGGACCCTTCCTATTTGCTGCTGATCTCCCCTAATGAGTTTGTAGGCAGCCACCAAGTCCCCCCTCAGCCTCCTCTTGCCGAGGCTGAACAGGTTCAGGTCCCTCAGCCTCTCCTCGTAGGGCCTGTCCTGCTGCCCTCCAACCTTCATGGGGCTGCTCTGCTGTCGCTCACCCCCACCCCCACAGCCATGTCGCTAGGACTAGGCTTCAAGTGCCCCAGGAGGTGGCAGCCATCTTTAGTGAGGGCAGCCCCCTGCTGCACGGTGGCACTGTAGGGGAAAGGGCAAGCATCTTGCTGGCATCACCCCCTTGGCTGAGCATGGAGGAGAGGGTTCCCAGCCCCGCGCTGCCCTGGCACTGCATCAGGAACCAGCTCACGCGGCCCAAGGCCAACCTGCAAGTGCTGCAGCAATGGTCCCTTCTCTGCCCTCATGGAGCTCGCATCATCTGCCTCTGCATGCTGTCCCTGCACCATCCAGACCACTGCAGCCAGCACTGCTTGCATGCACCTGCATCTTCCCTTGACTTGTGTGCATTGGGGCTGAACCCAGGGGCCGACTGCACACACGACAAAGGCAGCACAGCCCTTCAGCCCTGGCCGGCCAGTGCCATTCACTGACAGAGCCCATGTGAATAGATCTGGGAGAGACCCTGGAAATCTTTGTGCTCCCGTGATGGCTGTTCCCAGATTGCAGGACATGCACCCGTGGGTATGAAGTGCAGCAGAATAGATTACAAGGAAATCTCAGGGGGAAAGCCTTTCTTAATGTCAGAGCAGCAGGGCAACGGGACCAGCTTCCCAGGGAGCTAACGACCCTGCTTCCCTGGAGGTTTGCAAGCAGAGGTTGGATGGGGTCTGTGTGAGATGGGCTAGGAACAGTGTCTTGTTGCCTCCATGCAGGGGCCTGGATTCGATGCTTGAGGTCTCTCCAACCCAGTATCTTCACAGTGCAGTGGGCAACAGTGCCACCTGCCGAGTCCTGCCGCAATATGCAGGAGAGCCCAGGATTTGTTTGTGATCCCTTTTCTTGAACCAGCTCATAGTTGGCAGGGACAGGAAGCAAGCTTTTGGGCACAAAGAACTCCACTTTTCACCTGAGGACCCAGCTAACCCAGTGCCGACAGCCTCCAGGGTTGTCTGGACAGGAAAGTCCCCGTCCAAGTGCAGGGCAGTGGTTCACCTGCTCCATCCAGCACAGGAGACTGCCCAGGTCTGGGCCCCGCACTGCCAGGAGGATGTGGGTGGATTGGGAAGAGCCCGGTGCAGAGCAACCAAAATGATCAGGCCTTGGGAGGCAAGAGCACAGGGTGGAAGAGCTGGGGGGATTGAGTCTGAACGTGGCTGGGATGGTTTAGCGAGGGCTGGTCCTGCCTTGAGCAGGGGGCTTGGACTAGATGACCATGTGAGGGCCCTTCAAGCCTGACTTTCAATAGTCCTTTGATCCTGAGCACCTGGGTAGTCTCACAGTCCCCAATAACCAGTCTTACCTCTATCCCTGGGAAAATGCTAGAGAAAATACTCAAAGAACACATTTGTGCAGGCCCAGCAGGGGAAACGATGCTGAGGGGAAACCAGCACGGGTTTGTCACAGGTAGATCCTGCCTGAAAAACCTTGTAGCCTTCTATGACCAGGTCACGCACTGCCTGGATGCGGGAGCCGAGGCTGATGTCATCTTCCTGGACTTTAGGAAGGCCTTTGACACAGTTTCGCACCCTATCCTCATTGGGAGGCTAGCAGATTGCAGAGTGGACACCTACATGGTCAGGTGGGTGGCCAACTGGCTTAGGGACCGCACCCAGAGAGTGGTGCTGGATGGGTCCTTCTCGGCCTGGCGGGAGGTGGGCAGTGGGGTCCCGCAGGGTTCGGTCCGAGGACTGATATTATTCAATATCTTCATCAGCGATTTGGACAAGGGCATGGAGAGCACCCTCTCCAAGTTCGCTCATGATACCAAGTTATGGGACAAAGTTAGTACACCGGAGGGCAGAGAGCAGATTCAGGCTGAGCTGGACAGGTTGGATCAATGGGCAGAGAGAAATAGGATGCAATTTAATAAAGATAAATGTAAGGTACCCCACCTGGGAAGGAGGGACCCGCAGCACACTTATAGGTTGGGGAGTGTCCTTCTCAGCAGCTGGGAGGCAGAGAGGGATCTTGGAGTCATAATTGACTCCAAGATGAACATGAGCCGGCAGTGTAACGAGGCCATCAACAAGGCCAATCGCACCTTGTCGTGCATTAGCAGGTGCATGACTAATAGATCAAAGGAGGTGATGCTCCCCCTCTA